GGGAATGATTTCTCACTTCTGTCCCTCCTGCAAGTGCACACACCCTATAGCAAAAATCTCTCTCTCTAAAAAAAAAAAAGAGGTGGCACCCTGACAGCCATTTCACTGTGGGCCATTGAGATCAGTCTAGCAAAGCCCTGGGGACCCACTCTGGGAGCACAGGAGGGCGCTGTCCATGGAGATGGGATACCTGAGAGCCATCTAGTCTTGGCTGTGCTCCAAAATTGCCTGGCCTCTATCTGACAAATGATTACCCTTCTAGGGCCTCAGGTCCCCGCTATAAAATGACAGGGCATCCTTTGCCACCTCTGGTTCTATAGACACCCTGATGAAACCAGTGATTATGAAGGGTGCATGGCTCTGGTCCCTCGGTTGTCCTATAGAACATGGGAGAAGCAGTTCTAGGGACCCGCGGGGAGGCTGCAGTGTGACAGGAAATCTTGCCTTTGCTCTAAAGCCTCCCAGCTTTCAGGTCTCCGATCCTGTCCTTCAGTAAATGTAAGCTTTTCAGCTTCCTCCCCTTCACCCTGTGCTCCACCGCAGACCCGGGGTCGTTTCATTTGCGCTGCTAATTCTATCCAGCTGAAATCCTTGCACTAGCAAACACAATTGCCACACCCTCTATAGTCCACACTCCCCTCCCCTTCTTGAAGGCAAAGTGCTTGGGGACCAGAAAGTAGGCCAGGTCCTTGGAACCTTATCAAAATAGCACGGCTAGGCCTCCCACCCAGCAACACTCAGAGACGGGGCTGTGGAATGGGAGATCGAGCATCCAGGGCCAGTCAGAGCCAGACACCTTCTGCAGTTAAGGGGCCTCTGGACATACGTGTGTCCTGCTAAAAAGAAAAAAAACAATCTCCAACCTCTAGCTGAGAGAGAGGAGGATTAGCTCTCCCCCCCAACCCCCGCCAAAGCAACTGTGCTCTCTGATAGGCAAGGTCCCTGGACTAAGAACCAGAAAGCTGTTAGATGGAAGGACACTGCCATGGAATGACAGAGAGTGGCCAGTACATCTGGAATGCAGCGGGAAGATGGGGTGGTGGTGGTCAGCAGCTAGAGGCCAGGGCATCAGGGCCTTCAAAATGACCCTAAGAACAACAAGAAGCCGGGTTGGCTTATCTGTGGAGAACCATGGTCTTACCAGACATGTGTTGCATGGTCCCCGTCAGGGCAGCCGTGAGAAGTGCAGACTCAGCCGGCTCTAGAACCAGACTAGAAGGTTCTAGGAGGGCAGGGACAGCTGCACTTTTCATAAGTGCCCCAAGAGCTCCTTTGGTTTCCCAAAGTGGAGAGCTCCTTCAGGCTCCATTCAAGGATCCCTAGATGGCATGTTTCATCCCTGTAAGAGCTGGGAGACCACCTGACTCTGCCAGGGCGGGAGAGGGGAGCAAGTCTCTCATAGCCCAGGGATTGTTTCCCACAGTGCCTCACGGTACTGGCAACTGCAGCGAAAGGTGCTAGGGCTCAGGGCCAGCAGATGGCATGGCAGTTATGTCGCTAGACTCCCACATGGCTGACCATGGTTCGAGTCCCAGACCCGTCGGCTTGAAACTCCCACCAAGCACATGTGCGAGCGTACCCAAAATCCTGAGAGGAGAATGGAGGAGAAGGGATTGCCGCATTGTCGTCCCCCCTGGGGGGTAATTTCTTGCTTTCTGTCTCTCTGTCTCTCTCTTTCTGGCGAGCACACGTGCCCTATAGCAAAAACCTGTCAAAAAAAAAAAAAAAGGTGCTAGGGCTGCCTTTTGTGAACAGGAGAAGGGGCAGACGGACAGCTGGGAGGCAGGGCTAGGCGACAGGGGAGGTCAGGAGGAAGCAAATCAATCAAGTAAACCTTGGTTCAAAAAAATTCACTTGAGGGAACCAGCGTTAGCGTAATGGCTATGTCACTGGACTCCCACGTAGTCGACCGTGGTTCGCCTCCCGGACCCAGTGGCACATGTGCGTGCGTGCCCAAGATCCCGAGAGGAGAATGGAGGAGAAGGGATTGCAGCGTGACCATCCCCCCTGGGGGGGAGTTCTCACTTTCTGTCTTTATGTCTCTCTCTGTCTGTCTGGCGAGCGCACGCGCCCTATAGTGAAAATCTCTCAAAAAAAATTTTTTTTTTCACTTGCTCCTGTGGGTAGGAGAAATGCTTCACCGACCCTAGCTGTGAGGGAGACCCCAGGGCTTCTGGTGACATCGAACTGATGAGGCAGAGTGAGTGGCCCAGGGGACCAGGAGCACCACCTCAGCCAGTTCCTCCCCAAGGGGTCCAGCTCCTCCCCTTTTGCAGAATCCCACCCTGCCCTTCTAGGGTGGGCTGCAGAGGACAGCGCAGGTCCACAGTCCCCTCCGCCGCCCGCCAGCTCTTCCACCCACTAGCCCTGAAGCGGCCGGGGAGTGGGACGCGGTGGCCCGGTAGGTCGCTGTAGGGTCACCGTGGTCACAGCCGTCCTGTGCCTAGCTGGTGCTTGGGAGAGGGCAACACCCATCCCGCATCTGAAGAGCAAACGGGCTGAGAGTACTGGAGAGCGGAAAGGACCCTCTAGCTGTCTGGTGAGGAGCCAGAGAGACGAGATTGCCCCAGAACAGAAGCACCTGCAGGTCCCCCCCAAGGGCCGGCTGCTCAGGAGTAGAAGAGGATGGGGCAGGGCAGGACTGGGTGCGGCTGCTCCAATATGGAGAAACACCCCGCCGGCTTCCTTCGAGAAAGACTGGAATACTCTAACACCAAAACCTCTTCCGGGTTAAGGCTTCAAAGGGGGCGCAGTCATTGCGGGGCTCGGGGACGTGCCCAACGTTCTTTGGGATGCCCCCTCCCCCAGCCCCTGCCACCCGGATCCGCGGGGTCCCGAGCCCTACCGTCTCCGCCCCGCGCCC